TGTTCCTAAGTATCTAATCTAATAGATCTTTTTGACATTGATGATGGGTAGTCCGCTGTCTCCGCTCATACTATAGCATACACATATAACTATATACATAAAATCACATACATATACACATATAAACACACACACACACATCCCTGTGTGTGTTTTATCTTGAATCTAAAAAACTTTATTGCTTAATGAATATGTACGCAAAGGTCTAAAGAGAAATCATCAGGGGCAGAGGGAGTACCGGAGTTGTGACTAATAAAAGTTCAAGTTTAATTTAAGATTGGAATACTACAGCTTATTTTATTTAAAAAACGTGCCTCATAGTGGAGAACAAAAGCCATCATCAAACTGCCTTATCAGAAAGAGGAAAGAAGATAAAATTGTAGAGAGTGTACTTCTAACTGATGTTACAGCCATCCCTCATTAATTAAGAAACACAAGTACAGGCAGAAAACAGCACTGTAGAATTCCAGTATTAATTCTACTACTTCAGTAAAGGAAGCCCCTTGACCTTGGCAACCCAAACATCTTAACAGCTTCCAGCCTCTGCTCTACTACAGCTAATTAAGCCCCAGTCTTCTCCATATTTTGGATCTTTCGGGGATATAATGGAAAATCTTAGAATTTTACAACACTTAAAGGAGACTAGTCAACCACAGTTATGTCCTAAAATCCTAACTTATAAACCTTAATTTCCCCACTACGGGCGTGTTCTTTAGGACTGGAAAAAAAGAACTGGAAACTGGAAGGAACTGGAAGAAACTGGAAGGAACTGGAAGAAACTGGAAGAAACTGGAAGAAACTGGAAGGAACTGGAAAAAACTGGAAGGAACTGGAAGGAACTGGAAAAAACTGGAAGAACTGGAACAAACTGGAAGAAACTGGAAAAAACTGAGAAAGAGCTAGAAGTTAAGAGTTCAAGTCCTAAAGAACAGGCCCAACATAACGATAGACACCTAAAATACAACATTTACATTTCACCCCAAAAACATACCTCTATTGGTATGTTTTTTATCCATAAAGTTCTGTTCGAATGTGTCTCACATCACACAAATCCAGATTCAGAAAAAAATTGCATATACAGATATATTAAAACCTAAAACCCATATGATGGTGGCACACTTCCCACTAAACAGGAACCAGTTACTGATATTCAACTAAGGAATCAATCTAACTAGCAAATAAAAGATAACACAAGGAGGTGCAATTAGCATAAATTTCTAGAGATATTTGTACTTAAGAAAATGTGATAACTGGACAGAGTCAGATGTGTCATGGTATACAAAATCTCTAGGGTTTTCCGTTGTTCAATCAGTAAGGCACTCATCCATCGCAACCCGGGTATTTTCAGTAAATTACAAACATTCAATGATCCACAGGCATATGTTGAAAAAAATTGCCCCCAAAAATGAGAACTTGAAGAAATTTATGTGATCATCATATAGTCAAACAAGAGAAAATAGATCACTGAAGCAAATTCTTGTTCATGAGTTCTTACCATCTTCGACGTCATCTTCCTCTTCCTCCTCATCACTGTCCACTTGGGCCTCGTCATCTATCAGATTACGAGAACTGAAAGAACGACCCCCGCTCTTCTTATTGCGCCTCCTGCCTCCATACTCGTCTTCGTCTTCCTCGTCGTCTTCCTCAGCGACATCGTCTATAAAATCAGATCGGGTCCGCTTCCTGCCGGCTTTCCCACCGTGGCTGTACTCCTCATCGTCGTCGTCTTCTTCTTCATCCTCCTCCTCTTCCTCCTCCACGTCTACCGCATCATCGACGTATTCATCCTCCAGGTATTCATCTTCGTGGCTCGTTCTCGCCATGGGTGATCTGCAAGAGCGTAGGTAGGGCTCGAAGAGGATAGAACTCCCTTCTATAGATTTGTAGGGTATGATGAGGAGCCGATGAATTAGCTTCGGAATCTATATGAAATTACGGAGTATTATAGATTTCGAAATCGTGTTCAGGCGGTGGCAAAAACATTACCCAAAAAGTCCTAAAAACTGAAAAGAATTATCGAATGATTTTTTTCAAAAAAAAAAAAAAGAAAAAATCTTTCATTTGGATACTATTCTTTTTGTTAGAATTTGACGGATATTAGAAAAAATAAGAAGAGGTTGGAAAAAATAGTATGAATTAAATTGTTAAAAAATTACTTAATTAAATGATCATCCAAATAAAATAATAAGAAAACTTTAATTATATATAAAAAATTCATCTTTTTCATGTTTGAAGTGAAATGTTATAAATTTGGATATATGTTATTGTACATTTGTACATTTATCATATATAAATATTTTTTAAATCGTTGTTGGAAGAAACTAGAAATTAAAAAAAAAATACTCCGTAGAAAGGATTTGAAGAAGTTGGAAGTACCTTTATAGCTATTCTTTTTCTTATGAAAAAATATTAAAATGAAAGTTACTTCATTAATGTTATTAGGTTGAGAAAAAACGAACAGATGCTATATTTTAATCGAGTCAATAACATTCAAAAATTCTTTCATCTTTGATTTTTTTCTTCCTTTCCTTTCATCTATTCTCCTAAAATGATAATTACCTTCTCAAAATTCATTAATTCAAATTTAGTACGGAGTATATACAATATTTAAGTATTCTAAAAAACTAAACACGAGTTTTAGATGTATAAATGTATTTTAAAAAATGTTTCTAAAAATTTAAAATACCAAGATTTTACTAATTTTACTTTTGATCTATTTGAAATAAGAACAAACATTTTAATAAATAAATTGGCAACAAAATAGGCAAAGAAAATATTCATTTTGTACATGTGATTCCGACTTTTTCCTATAATTAAACAGCAAATATTCTGTACACACTGTCAAAAAATATGACTGTTTTAGGCAATGTGGTTGTTCACTTATGTGTAGTGGGCAGTGTGGTTTTTTATATGTGAGCATTTAATGTCGCGGTGTAGAATAGATGTTCTCATTTTGACTTTTGGTGGTTTTTAAGGAGAATTGAAAAAAAGGTGAAAGTTTACCATAATACCCTTAATGAAATATGGGTGGAGTGTATTAAATGAGGTGGGTGAGGTGTAATAAATAAAGTAAGTGGGGGTAGCTATGGTATTTTAATTGTTAAAAAATGAAATGAGAAGATCTATTGTGGACAAAGAAAAAGGGCTATTGAGAAGATCTATGGGGGACGGAGGGAGTATATTTTACGACAGTGTAAGTGTAAAATTATGTTCCTCAATTTCATGTTGGAGTGTAATGCCCATTGATTTATATGGCAGTGTTTTCATGTATAAATTTTACATTGTCAAAAAGTGTATGATTGTTTTCATTCATGAATTTCACACTGCTCAAAAAATGTATAGCTCTTTTTATGTATGAATTCCACACTGCCAAAAATGTGTATGAGTTTTCATGTATGAATTTCACACTGCCCAAAAATGTATGGCTGATAATTTAGTTGGCTATGAAGTAAAAAAATTGACTTCAAAGTCAACTTAGTTTTGCAGGTGCAATCGATGTGGGTGTGTGGATGAATTGGGTCGGGACTGATGGAGGTTTACACAGAGTAGGAACTATCCATTTTACGAGCGAAACACCGTAACTATCCGTAGAGAAACAATGACTTCCGTGGCCACTCAAATGTTATGGTCATGGAATCTAACCGTTTTAGGATTATTGAATCTATTGGGACATATGTGAGTTTCTCATCTAGAATTTTTGGGGTGTTTCTCCAACCAATCAAATCAAGAAAGAAATTCTTGTTTAGGCTTTATTCTTTTCGATGGAAAAAGTTATCTCTAACATTTCTTAACTTCTTCCAACATTTTCTAATTTTTTCAAACTCGTTCAAGTTTCTTCCGACAACGGCTTGAAAAAGTATTTATGTATGATTACTATGCAATAAAACTATATATCTAAAATTTATAACGTAATATCTCAAATACGGACAAACATGAATTCTTTTTTATATTAAAATTTAGTTTTCTTACATATTTCTCTTGGTGATAATTTAATGAAGTGACATTTTAACACTTTATTTTTTTTCAACATTTTATAACTCTTTCCTGTTTCACATTGTCATTGTTACACTGTCACAAAATCACCGCCACATTTCCATCTGTCGCATTCGCCACCAGAGTGCCGCTGCAAATCACCGACGATTGACTGATGACACTGATATATTACAGAGCCATCATTTCTTACAGCACAATGCCATTATACTTCTATATTGGTATTGAAACATTGAGGACTTCTATTTTGGTATTTTCATACTCCATCTGTCCTAAAATGATCTTCCCAGTTCGGTTTACGAGGTTTGACTAAAATTATTTTCAATTCAATTTATTGGATTATAAGAGTAAAATTAAAAAATAAAAATTATATATTTTAAAAGTACATTAAAATGTCTACAAAACAAGAGGTGATATCACTATATTATTTTTTCAAATAACTAATGAAAATAGACAAAGAATGTGATTATAATTTGACCATGTACATAGTGTCTGGGAAGATCATTTGGTGGGAGTACTTTTTACTTCTATCCAGAGAGATTTTTTAAACTAAAATAGTTACCGTGACATTTTTTTGAAATGAAGTAATTATTGTAAGTGGTGTAATTCGTAACATATTGGGTTGGTTTAATAGTTTGGGATATGATAGGGGTACACCAAATGTACATCATTTAACTCTATACCATTCATTTTATTTTCTTTTTATTTTTTACTTTTTTTTTGAATTTTTCTTGTCTTTTTTTTTTTGAATTTTTCTCGCATTTTCCTAAGGGTCCGTTTGGTATACAGAATTGATGGAATTGGAATTGAATTGGAATTTAAATTCCATGGGATTCAATTCCATAGAATTGAAATTCTGTCAATTTCAATTCATTTTTTGCAATATCAATTCCAAATCTACATAACTTTTGTGCTACCAAACACCATAATTGGAATTGAAGTCCTCAATTCCAATTCCACACTTTGAATTCCATGTACCAAACGGACCGAGCCTAATAGTTTTTCTCTGTAGCCGTCACCGAGGGCAGAAGGGTCACTTGCCCTCTACTGTTACTAAAAATTTGAACTCAACATTACACAACACAAAAGCACTTGTCACCCCACTCACTTTTCTCTCTCTAGCTCTCCGCCGGACAATGCGAACCCAAACCCCCATTTCCGCCGGAATGTTCCATCTGCTTGCCATCGGTACGGCGGTCCTTTTCGCCGGAATCCCCCTCGGAGTCTCCAAATCCACCATCGAACCCTGCTCGAGCGCCGCCCCCTGCTCCGCCCTCGTCGGGTACACTCTCTACACCGACCTCAAAGTCTCCGAGGTGGCGGCGCTCTTCAACGCCGACCCAATCGCCCTCCTCCTCACCAACGCCATCGACATTTCGCCGCCGGGCGTCGAAAACCTGATCCTCCCCAAGGGCGTCTTCCTCAAGGTCCCCGTGACGTGCTCTTGCATCGACGGGATCTTCAAATCCGGCTCCGTCAAGTACACCACCCGGCTTTCCGACACTCCAGACTACATCGCCGCCACCGTGTACTCCGGCCTCGTCTCCGGCGACCAGATTAAGGAGGGAAACCCCAGGGCCATCGGCTCCGACCCTTCTACCCTCGGCGTGGGAACTGAGCTCTGGATTCCACTCCCCTGCACCTGCTTCAACGGAACTGACAACAACATTCCGGCCATTTTCATGTCCTATGTTGTCCAGGAAACAGACAGCCTACCCACAATTGCCGGGAACTATTCCACCACAGTCAATGACCTCACCACTTACAATAACCTTGGGACCAATGAGACCGAAGCCGGGGATGTTATTGCCATTCCCTTGCCGGGTAATCTTTCATGTTTTGGATTGAAGTAAATTATGCTCATTTTTAAGCCATTTGCCTTTACTTGTTCTTTTTATTTGTTATCTTTCTCATCTTGTCATGTGTATGAGCTATAAACCTTCATGGACCTCACTAAGCATAAACTTAATCTTTTGTTTGAGCTGGTTAGTTGATGTGGTATTCTAACATTTAGTTCTCGATAGCCCCATATTGATTTGCATTTGGTTGAAAAGAGATTACTGATTATCGACAATTTGTTTCCAATGGAGAACTTGGATTTATAAGAAACCTATTTGAATTTTCATTGGAGTTGGAGTTTAGTTCAATTTTATGATAAATGCAACAACTTAAAATGGTAATGGATGTTCTCCACAAGTGCCATTTCTGGTTTTTCTATGCATAAACAAGCTTGGTTTTGTAAATTTAGCTTAGGTAGACATGCTTGAATGTATAGGACTTTGAGTTCTTTGCATTATTTTTTATCAATGCACCCGAAATAGCATCAAATTCCTTTACAATCAATCCGTCCTGCTTTGTTGTGCTTACTTTGACTGAGCTTGTGGAGTAAGAAACTGAAAGTTTTATAGAAAAGAATGAGACCAACAAAATTGGGACAAAGGAGTACATATTTATTAATGATAGAAAACAATTTTTTCTATTTTTTCCAGCTTGTCCATCAAACTTTCCACGATACGCCTCGGATTTTGCGTTATCTGTGCCAAGTGGGAGTTATTCCATAACAGCAGGTCGCTGTGTGCAGTGCAGTTGTGGGCCCGACAGTCGCAAGTGATTACAGAACACTTCTTTGCATTATATATATATATATATATATATATATATATATATATATCTGTGTGTGTGTGTGTGCGACGTGCGTGTGTGTGTTTATATATTTCAGTAAAGGTTTAATGTTGTCTATCTGTAGCCTTACTTGCCATTTTGTTGCTGACCTTCCACAGTTTGTGGTGTATGCCCGCTTCGATGGAGGTTTCTTGCACAAGCATGCAATGCAAAAACAGCAATCTAATGCTTGGGAATGTTACTGCGCAGCAGACGCCCGGGGGTTGCAATGTGACCTCTTGCAGTTATGGTGGCTATGTCAATAACACCATCGTCACTGTGTACGTTGATTTATTCTCAAACCCCGATTTTTTTTTCTTGTTCAAATTCTATTTGACGTTTACTTGTTCAGTTATAACATGGGATTACACCTTACAATGTGTTTGGGTTGAGGTTGAAGGAGGCTAGTAATGGAAATGAAGGGACAAGATTATAAAAGAGGGGAGGGGCAATACTGTAAAACTGAGTTTGAAATGGTTAAATGTAGTAAACTTTGTTTTCATTCACACACTATTTATTATTAGTTTAATAAGACTATACCATACCATACAAGAAACAGTCAAACTTTAAAAGAGAGAGACTTTATATTTCACTCAAGATAACCAGACAAAATCAGACCAGAAAGATTCATTTCTTACAAGACTTTCTGTAGTTTTTTTTATTGTAAACACTTTATGCAGCTCCTTAGTTACTTGAAGTACCATATAATTATGAATGTCTAGCTTAATTATGAGTGATGTATGATTATTAACACCTTCAGTTACCTTCTCATTCTGCTACAGATTATCCTCATCGCTGCAGCCTCGGTGCCCAGGTAATCATCAAAAGACTGTTACTATTTATTTCGGCAATTTGAAATCGAGAAAAAAATGACTACGGAATTTGTCAAAAACTATTAGTAAGCATGACTGTAGGAGATCTTGAAACAAAGTATTACGATGAAATTACCTCACGAAGCGACTTTATCATGATACTCCATTTCAAAAGCATGGTACTCAATGTCATAGCATGACCCAGGACACATACGGTGCTTCGTTCAAAAAATTGATAGTTCCTACCCCTGCCCCATACCCTTCACCAATTGGCTAGAGGGGGTTTTGGGCTTTTGGGGGGGGGGGAGGGGGGCTTGTGGGGGTTTTCGGATGTGGGTGGAGGGGGTAGGAATCATCATTTATCGAACGAAGTACCATAGGTGCTTTGGGTCATGCTATCACATTGAAGTTCAATGTCATATCAACCGGGGTGATAAAAACCTTGTAAAATCATCACGCGACATATAAATTCTTTGGAATTGGGCGGGAAATGGGGTTGTCATTATATACTCACCATCTTTTTTTTGAAAATGGACTCATTGGTGCATCTCACACTCTAATTTGCATTCAATAATGGTTGCAACCCGGTCACATTCAGGGACACAACGAATCCTCCCTCTTCTCCCACTTCCATCAGAAGCTCCAAAGTCATCAATTTCTCCTTCGCCTGCCCCTCTAGTGGCTGGTGGTGCTCCGGCAGCCGCCACAACACCATCCTCCCCAACTCCTTCATCCTCCTCAGCAATAGCATTTCCACCCACAGCAAGTAGCCCCTCTGGGATTTCTTCCTCTGCTCGCTCGCTCCAAGCCCATTTGTCCAGACTCCAGATTCCACTATTGCTCGGGCTACTCGCCAAACGCGTGATTTCTCTATAATGCCCTCATTTCTTCCTGACTGTGTAAGTTTGTAGAAGGTGTTCGTCCAGAACTGTATTGCCATTGTTTCTTTGTGTTTGTTTGTTCCTTTTTTTTGGGAGGAGTCTCTTAGTGTGTTTGCTTTTTTCATTGGTTAGGGGTATTTGTTTTTCTAGTAGGGTTTTAGATGAACCAAACTGAGCCCAGGGTTGAGGTATTCATCTCTTGTTCATTGTATTTTTAATTTTTTTTGGGTGTGTTTGATTGGTATCAGTTCATGTTCCTGAAGAAGTTTGAATTACTGTTAAGGGGTTGCGGGAAGATTTACATAACCGTTTTTTAATCGGGTGTTTGGTCAAATTATACCGGGTTCATTAATGGAATCATCTAACCTTTAATAAACACTCTCTCCTGTGCAAAGAATAAAAATAAAAAAAATAAATAAACAGAATCACTTTTTTAGTGTCCGTATTAAATTAGGCAATTTTTTTGGTGCACTTTAAGTCCATGCACATTATATGGACCTTAGTATATTTATATTATAAAAGAAGTAGACATTTTGTAAAAAATAAAATGGAAAAAGACTAAATTATCAATCATGATCATGTATATTCCATAAAATCTACATGTACATGGTAACATTATCACATTACGAACTTCTTTTTAGGGAATAAAAACATGAAAATCTTATTTTGGTACTTTTTTTATGTTTTAGTTCTATTTAGGGTTATTTTTTTTTAAAAAAATATGCAATGCAAGCACATGAAAAATGTATAAAAGTTCATATTTTATGTGGATCTTTAGAACATATAAGCATCAACTCATTAAATTATACTTCAAACATTATTTATTTATGCCATGTGCAAATTCTTGTATCAAGATGAAAATATGGAACTCTTATTTTAGAGAAGATATAACTATATTTACATCATACTACTTCTGTCCTAGTGCGTTTGTTTAATTTGACTTTTTCGAATCAAATCAGACAAATTTTAAGATTTAATTACTCTCAATTTGTATTACATATTAGTACAATGAAATAAAATTTTAAATACTCTCAACAAGACAAATATAATAAAATTACATTTATAACTAAATAATATACTCTTTCTGTCCTAAAATTGTGTTCACTTTACATAAAACAAAGTAAAATCTTAATTTTTTCAATTTATTTTATTTAAAAATTAGTACGGAGTATATAAATAAAAATAAAGCTTACTAAAAATAAAATGCACTTAAATAATAAAAAACGTTTAAATTTAAAATTAAAAGAAGATAGATTTATAAATTTTGTGAAGTGTTTCTTTTTAACCAGCCTTGCTAAAAAAACAAGGGTGCCAGACAAGCACAGTAGCGGCCCCTCCGTCCGCCCTCAGCCGCGCGGTCACGTCTTCAGATCTCCCACCGCCTCCTCTTCTCAAGGATTCATCTTCTTCGTGGGTCAGTGCATCCGACCAGAGTGGAGACCGGATCGCCGGACATTTGGCCGTTCGCCACCAGGCAGCTCCCCCTCTCCAAGCTCCGCCACTGAGTCTATTGTGTGATTTGTCTTCTGTCTTCTTTAATCTCCAGTTCAGGTTTGAGATTTTTAGATTTTTTTTTTAATTTCACAAACAAAATATCAGTATATTCCCGAAAGCACAATGAATATCTTTTCAATTACTACCAAACGATCATCTTGGAATGCCATTGTTAGACTTTTAGCAGATTAATCCTTCTAATATGGAAGATTGCAAAACCCAAAAGTGATTATGTTTACCATACTAAACTTTAAAACTTGTAGGTTTGTGAAATAGAAGTCTTTGTATAAGACGGAAGGAGTGTGATATTATGGTCCATGACCATGAGTAGAGAGGAAGCTTTTTTTTTAGAATTTTGTAGCTTGTATGATTAAATGAGTGTTACTGCCGTCAAGAGTGAATGGCTATGGCAGTAGATTACTCTTTAGTGCCAGTATTCCATTGTAGGCCACCAGATTATCACCTAAGATACATTTATCTCCAATGCACTAGTTCAAATATGAAAACACTTGAATATAAATTTATTTGTGATCCTGCTCTTTAGCAGATAATGAAATGGAAGATAGTTTACCCTGTATTCTTCTAATTCTCATCCAATATGTTCTTTTATCTACAAAAACAACAACCCAGATATGCCCTTTCATCAAGAGACTATTAACCAAGTGTACTATTGTTTTACCGTATACTGGTCTTGTTCAATCCCTGTAGCATATTTTAATAACATTGCTATTTATAGTTCATCACAAAGTTGATAATATAAAAGAGAGTGTTTCCTTTCTTTGAGGAGCTGCAATCTAAAGTCTTCCACCTTCTCTAATTCCAGACGTCGTTTTATTGCAGAAATCCCCTCTTACCGTGATCGGATCAAGAAACCCTAGTTTGGCAGAAAAATGGATGAGCTGACCTCTGCCCTGAACACCCACATGGACCAAATGGCAGATCTTGTTGAGAAATTTTCTGCTGAGCTTCGCTCTGGGTTAAAACCCGCCTACGAGAATTTCATGGGCTTCTTCCACGCAATTGATTGGACGGTATTATTTTCTGTTTGAACAATTTTTAAAAAATATCATCCCCAAATTAGGTTTCCATATGCTTTTGGCACAATTATTAAGAAAGTTAAGGTGTGTGATTGTGATATACTCCCTCCGTCCCAAATTGTTTGTCACATTTCTATTACCAAGGCAAAATATCAAGTTTTTTCAATTCATTTTATATACATATTGGTAAAGAAATAAAAAATAAAGATTACATATCAAAAAACTACATGAAAAGTTCTTCGAATTAAGAGGTGTCAAGAATATTTTATTTTATCAAATAACCAATGAAAACGTAGAAAGTTCCCGCGACTGTTGAAAAAGCAAATGTGGCAAATAATTTGGGACGGAAGGAGTACAGAGTATGTCCGTCCCAGCGTTTTTGTCGAGTATCTATTTTTGGTAAAATAATAAGTGTTATAATGACATATATACCCTCACCAGTCAAAATAGCCAAACTAAGAGTATAGTAAAATCAGTAGATGCGGTGAGAGTATTCTTCCTCCATCAAAGATACTCCAATTTAGGGCTAAACACAGCCTACAACCTGAACCAAATTGAAGAAAGCTTAGTTATAGAAATCTTTTTACAAAAAAACGAAGCAGTAGTGTAAATGATCATCATAATTTTCGCCAGAGCTTTTCCCAATTCAAAAGAGGGTTTGAGAACAGGGAAGGCCAATGATAAGGATGTGCGTATTTACAGTTTACAGCATATCTGTCATTCTCTCTTTCTTCTTTTTTCCAAGATCAATATCTGAAAGAAAAGATCAAAAGATTGCTCGGTTCAAGAGGAGAATGAAAAAATAGAGAAATCATTTGCAAAGGAGAGATGCCAAACTGCCCAGTGATTCAGTGCAGAAACAGTTAACACATGCCTTTGAGTCTGAATAAGGGCACTTTTGTAACTTCCTCCAAAATTCACCCTTGGTGGATGTGTAAAAAAGAAAGTGGAGAAAAACACTGGGACAGAGGGAGTATGTAATAGGTGGAGAAGAACATAAACCGCATAGCTCTTTTCATATAAAGAACTGATGAGGTAATATGAAATTGAATTATTGAGATAGCCAAAAAAGCAAAGGTAGACATTAATTTGGAGGAGGGAATAGTAAGAATAATTGTTTTTGGTATGCAACAATTCTGTCTTCTGCTATGTAACTGTGGGATAGTTTTATTGTCCCTTATAATAACCTTATATGACTTTATATGTGCCAAATAACAACAACCAAGCAAGAAAAGTCCCACGAATGTGGTCTGAGGGTGGTTTTATGCACATCATATCCTTACCTAGAAAAGGTAGAGAGGCTGTTTTTGAAAGACTGTACCCCTGGTTGTGCCAAAATGTTTATATTTTCTTCACGTGCTATCTTTCTTTTCTGATTGTATCTTCATGTTCCGTGCTTTTATTCTCATCATATTACTCTTATTGCCTTCTGGTTTCTGTTTCTTATTTGCTGGTCAATATCTGATTTGGAAGAATAAATATAAAATGGATGGATTTTTATCCTACAATTGCCTAGTAGATAGGCATGCAGTTGTTATACAAAAATAAAATGCTGCTGCAATTTCATCAATGTTTTATCTAATCTGCATTCTATTTTCCTGGGATCCTGGGAATAAAATTTTGCTCTTTTAACAGCTGAAAGATCTTTGTTTACTTTGTGTTTCTGCGTTCTCTTCTCATCCTTAGGCGTTTTCTCCCACTTACATATGCAGGAACCTTGGTTAGTAGGGTTACTTTCCCTCCATGGCGCTGTATTGCTGCTAACACTCTTCTCAAGGAAGAACATCAATTTTCAGATGGTGTTATTCCTTTTTGCTTGTAAGTTCACTATTTCTTAATCAAACATACCCTGAATTACTAAGGGCTAATGTTGCTTACTGACGGATAACCAGACATTCTATTTTTCCCTGTTAGGACTTTCAACTGAATTTAGTTTAACTGAGAATTTGATATAGTCGATTGGTAAAACGATCAAAGGTAGCTGAACTGTATTAATTAACAAGGAAATGCTCCATACATTTTACCATTCTGATGAATAAGCAAGCACAACAATATTGGCAAGGTGTTTTTGTATCAACTTGTTTGTTAATTGTACATCCATTGCCAGTGGAGCTAAAAGAGTGACCGTTGAAAATGTATAACAATGCATCTAGGGTCTAAGAAAAAGAGTCTCTTGGAGTAAGACTACGTACATCTTGACCACCCCCCCCTACCCCCCTCCCCCCAAAAAAAAACCAAAATGTCGTTGGGATTATTATACTGGGTTGTTTGTTTAATATCACTGTACCATATTTGCTAGCGTGTGTGTGCCGTTTTGCAATCTATGTAGCATTTTAGAACATATGACTAAAACTGGGATATAATGCAGTGGGAGGAGTTTACTTTGCAGAGAATCTGAACAAATTATTGGCTGCAAACTGGAAAAGCTTTGCTAAGCAGAATTATTTTGATCCCCACGGCGTCTTTATATCAGCACTCTGGTCTGGGCCTCTTCTGGTCATTGCAATCATAATCTTGGTAACACTCTTGTCTCTCTCTGCATTCCCCTCTTTTACCCACTCTCATGTTCGCTTCGCCTCATAATGTCACCCCCATCATCCTTTCAATGTCTGTCTTCCCTTCCCTTCTCAGGTGAATACACTGTTTTCTTTGTGCCATATGATTGTTAAGTGGAAAAAGGCCGAGCTTAGACACCGTGCAATTCTTGCTCGCCGCAAGGAGGATTGAGACTAGCGCTCGTGAGAGGACAGAGAG